CTCTTCACACTTCTTCTCGCAACTCTTCTTAATCTCAAACAATAAACCCTAATATTTTCTCTCTCTTAAATTCATCTATAATATATTAATAACTGCATAAAATTATTACACATAAACATTGTGTATGAGATGCATTCATCAAAACCATTTCTTAGATTTAAAGAAATTATCCTCATTAAACAAAGTTGTGGTTTTATATGGAATTTTTAATTTAGGAATTTCCCCCCAGACATGAATACCTCCTTTTAATTAATTAATATTCTATTTAATAAATATGGATATCTAATATTGACAATTCTCCAATAAACCTAAAAACAATAGAATAACATGATTTTTTACCATATTTTTAGAAAATATTCTAAACAGTATTGGATAAACCATCTTAAAATTTTATGATTACTCTGTAAACACGATAAAAAGTAACATGCAATAATAACTAGATAAAAAATAAACCATCTTAAAATTTTAGGATTGTTTTTTTAAAACTTGGATCTTTTTAATAGAAGATTAACCCTAGAGGCCAACTCTGAGGATAAAATAATTTCCTTTCATTATCTTTTCACATAAAACAAGGACAAGCACACTGTCCGGATTCAATGTATCCGCTCTGCAAGAACCTATCACAATCACATATATACTAACCATCTCCCCATACAAAAATGTTGAAAATAATCTAAATTAAATAAAATATTCAACATTTAAATTTTAAGTTATATAAATGACGTTAATGTTAATTTTTATATGCAATGTTTATATATGATATAATTCTTAATTTTTTCAAATTATAATTTTTCTTTAAAGATTGAGTCGAATTATAAGTTAAGTTTATATGATTTGTTGATTAAACCAATTAAGCTAAAACCATTTTACAAACTATTCAAACATATTAAACTTAGGGGCATAATTCAATTTAATTCAGACCAACTTAAAAAAGCAAATTTAGTTGAATTTTACTTATGATCAAGTGAATTCTAACCTAACTTCAAAGTGACCGAATTTTTCATTAGTAACAAGTTTTATAGGTTATGACAAAATATTTAATACTTTAAAACTAAAGTTTTGTTTTAACTTGAGATACACCAATTATAAACTCTGCACTCTGCAAAGAACTGAATCATCAGAGCTAACAACAATGGGAGAGGTAGACCCTGCTTTCATCCAAGACCCACAACACAGACCAAAGTTGAATACTATCCAAGCTGAAGACATTCCCGTGATAGATCTCTCCCCAATAACCAACCACTCAGTTTCAGATCCATCTTCCATTGAAGGCTTAGTGAAGGAGATAGGAAGTGCATGCAAGGAATGGGGTTTCTTCCAAGTAACCAACCATGGGGTTCCCTTCACTCTAAGACAAAACATTGAAAAAGGTTCAAGGATGTTCTTTGGTCAGACTCTCCAGGAGAAGAGGAAGGTTAGCAGAAGTGAGTTTTCTCCAAGTGGTTACTATGAGACAGAACACACCAAAAACGTTAGGGACTGGAAAGAAGTGCTTGATTTTCAAGCCAAAGACCCCACTTTCATTCCTGTCACTTCCGATGAACATGATGATAGAATCACTCACTGGACTAATCAATCCCCTCAGTACCCTCCAAACTTTAGGTAATTCAACTTCACTTTCTATATAAGCTGTCAAATTCTGGTTCAAAAAAATTGCTTTGTTCTTGTAATTCAACTAACTATATATAGATGGAAAATTAGCGAAGGACTTGTGTATAAACGATGTGAATATGTGTGTACATGGATAGGGGTATAATCGAAGAGTACGTCGAAGAGATGGAAAAGTTGTCCTTTAAGTTGATGGAGCTCATTGCCATGAGCTTAGGCCTTGATGCAAAGAGGTTTGAAGAGTTTTTCATGAAAGATCAAACCAGCTTTATTCGTCTCAACCACTATCCTCCATGCCCTTATCCTCACCTAGCTCTTGGTGTTGGTCGACATAAGGACGCTGGAGCATTAACCGTTCTTGCACAGGATGAGGTTGGGGGACTTCAAGTCAAACGCAAAGCAGATCAAGAATGGGTTCGAGTGAAACCTACACCAGATGCATACATAATCAATGTTGGTGATATCATTCAGGTGTTGAAATTTTACCCAAGTTAATACTATTGAGTATTATTGGATCTGCAGAATAGCAGTTTATGAAACATGTATAATCCCTTGATTAGAAGGTGATAGTTATAGTTTGTTGATGCAGGTTTGGAGCAATGAGTTGTATGAGAGTGTGGAACACAGAGTGATGGTTAACTCTCAGAAAGAAAGGTTTTCCATTCCGTTCTTCTTCTTCCCTGCACACTACACCGAAGTGAAGCCTTTGGAGGAATTGACTGATGAGAAAAACCCTCCAAAATATAGGCCATACAAATGGGGCAAGTTTCTTGTCCGTAGAAAGGGCAGCAATTTCAAGAAACAAAATGTCGAGAACATTCAGATTTATCACTATAAGATAGCTTAAAGGATAATAAAATATCAGTTTAGCTTATGCGTGGCCCTAGAATGTTTCTGATTTGCTGCACTCTAATCTTATTATGAAGTTAACAGAACCAGTGAATGTATGTATTCTGGAAGCATCTAATAAAAGAAAAGTATTGTAATTGCATGGATCCTTTGATTTTTTTTACAGTTTCAAGTTTTATATTGTTCAGTAAGTACCGTTTTATAGGTTCCTGTCGATGATGTAAACTATTTGTTCATTGTAAATAAATACAATAATTTAGAAGTTCAAATAAACAAGATTCCGATAAGTCAGAAAATGAAAATATAAGGTCGATTAACGAGTGAATTCACTCATCTCATCCTACTCCTCATTATTTTATATTTTTAATTCTTTCCCTGTATAATCTTTTGACTGCTTTAATTAAAAACAAATATCCATCCCTTCCTCATGTGCCTCTCTTCCTGGTTTGATATTCCCAAATCCTACACCCTTTTCTCTTCTTCTTTGTCGCATTTCATATTCTATTATTATGTTTGCATTTCTGGACTTGTGCATGGTTGGATCTGGGATGAGATCTGAAATCTGGAAGGGGGATTGGAACGAAGTGGGAGGCCTTAACCGCACTTGGAAGTACGGTGGAGAGGTTGCGGCAGTTGTAGATGCGTTTGATGGTTAAGGTTGGAGAGAGAAGTCATTTGACATATGTTATTCTTGAACGAAAAATGAGGTTTTACTTATATGTATGAAATATAAAGTCTGATACCCCGCACTTGGAGAAAAAAAGCAGTTAATGTGAGGTTGGAGAAAGAATCAGGATTGACCCCTCAAAATGATTAAATGAAAGATCCAATATAGTTCAGGGAAGCACCACTTCAACTCAAGCTGGGAAGAAGTCTATTATGGGATTGGCCTTTAAGACAGTAAATATTATATAATGAGTGCAACTGTTAGAAGTTTGGTAAGCATAAGATCTCATTATTCAAGTTTCCTCATATTCCAGTGTTACTGAGATTAAGACTAACTAAAGAGGTAGATTAATTGAGTGGTCTCGTTAAACCATTATTACAACTTTTCATATTTTAATTAATGAAGGGCAAAAATGTTTACCAGGAGATACAGATGAGATGGATGAGGTGTAGGGAGAAGCATTCTCGATTAAAGTTAGTTTTCCCTCTCCACACGTTATACTGTGGTATGAATAACGTCTTTTAAAAATTTAGTAGAAATATAATATTTGGATTGACAATTTCCGAAGTCCAAAAAAAGATAAAAATATCTGAAACACTATATTTTCTCTTTACTAACAACATTGCTCTCTTCGAGGACAATCCTCGTCCCGCTCTCCCTGACCTTCGTGCCGATGGCCTGGTTGGTGCCACCCGGTTTGGAGGTTTGCTTCATCCGTTCCATTTGAACAGTCTTGTCACCTTCTTCGGTGACCTTCTTCTTGGCGACCCTGGCTGCATTCTCGACTTTCAGGGTGGTCAACTCTCCCTCATAATACTAAAACTGTTGTATTTCCATCATTTGTTGTTGAAGTACTCTGATAGTCTCTGTCCGGTCCTCTAAACCCATGTTTCTTGGGGTCACTTGGATCTTATGAATCACTCGACCCAAGGTAGACACTAAAATATTTCTGATATAGATCAAGTAATTCCACGTAACACACATAACACACATTCACACTTTATTTTTTTGTGTTCGAATAACTCTATTCATACCTTTAGCTTAAGTATTTTCTTGTCAATGTTTCAAACCGCTTGGATAGTTGTTAAACACACTCTAATGCTTAAATGCTTAAGTCAATAATTAATCCGGTACTAACAAAATCTTAAATTCACAGTGAAATCACCTACTTTTTAGCTTTGATTTGTATTTATAACTTTTGAGATAAATTTAAATTTAATAAAATCTTAATCACTATCCAACCTTTTCATCCATAAGGTTACCTTTGCCCAACTGAGCGAAACTTGTATTGTATTGTTTTGCTCAATTTCACTACTTAACATATGTAACTGGTTTCCCTTTTTAGTAACTCTTTTCGTCCGATCTTAACTCCGTGGCCTCCTCACCATCTAGTACAAAGAGAGTTTTGAAATTATTTATTTTGTTCATATTGCTCATTCAGTGATAAGATGGGTTGAATTTGTGATTAAAACTCATTGTGGGATAATTCAAGTACTCAACGTTTCTTTTTTCTTCTTTTAATTATGAGAAAGCACAAAAGGGGTGGGAGAAGGGATTGGAGGATGACCGGGACTGACAGGGACATTAAGATTACATATAATATTTTCATTTTCACGAAGATTGATACATGATATCTTATTTATACTATTTATCTATGCTATTTTTTAATTTCTCTACTGTTTATTTATTTTCTGTATTTAAATTTATGGTAACTATGAAAAATAATTAAAAGTTGAGGGAAAAGTTAGAATTGATAAATCAAAATATTAATTAATGTTTTCATAAACTTTTGAAACAACTCCAATTTTATTAGAATATTGTTATTATTATTACTTCAGTTGTGTTTATATATATATCCGCAATCGGCAAAGAACTCTATCATCAGAGTAACAAGAATAATGGGAGAGGTAGACCCTGGTTTCATCCAAGAGCCGGAACACAGGCCAAAGTTGCATACCCTCCAAGCTGAAAAAATTCCTGTGATAGATCTGTTCCCGATAACCAACCACGAAGTTTCAGATTCATCTTCCATTGAAGGGTTAGTGAAAGAGATAGGAAGTGCTTGCAAGGAATGGGGCTTCTTCCAAGTAATCAACCATGGGGTTCCCATCATTCTAAGACAAAACATTGAGAAATGTTCTAGGATGTTCTTTGGTCAGACTGAGGAGGAGAAGAGGAAGATTAGAAGAGATGAGAACAGTCCGATGGGTTATTATGATACAGAGTACACCAAGAACGTTAGGGACTGGAAAGAAGTGTTTGATTTTCTAGCCAAAGACCCCACTTTGGTTCCTCTCACCATTGATGAACACGATGATCGACTCACTCAATGGACTAATACATCACCTCCTTACCCTCCACACTTCAGGTAATTCATCTTCACTTTGTAAAATAGTTTTAGTTTGAAGTTTCAAGAATAAAGAAAAAGATGTAAGTTAGTGTATGGTGAATTCGAAAGAAAGATTGAATAAAATGGTAAAAAAATAGTAAAGATTGATACCAGGGATGGCTAAGAAACATCTTTTACTGCTACCGATAATCCTTCACGAATATGAGTAATACTTAGGAGTGACAAAATAGGATAAGGTTTAGCGGGGTAGGCCGAAAGCAGGTTGATCTGGATTCTTCTGTCACCTAAAATTGGAGGCAATTGCTCCCTACACCACCACATACTACTTTCCAGCACCTCTCCATTCCTGTTTTGCCCTCCAGTAAAATTTAATTTTAAGGTTAATATTTTTTAACTTTTACCTTTTGTTGCGAGTGTGGTGGTGGTGTGAGTGTGTTTCACAGTGTGCGGTGTGCTTATTGGAAGGTTACAAAGATTAGTAGTGGTGCAAGAAACTCAGCTAGAGATTGATCTTGCTGCTAATGCAGGTGCATTGGGAAAAGTAGGGAAAGTGTTTCCCAATTGCGTAATAAACCCTAAAAAAAGTATTATCGTATTATCTTAAACGGATGTGAGTATCCGTGAGCGGATGTCAACATCTGTTAAAGCTAAAACGGATGTCGACATCCGTGTGGAGAAACAGTGTGTTTCGAGCGATTTTGTCGGAAGTGAATGACGACGGCGTGTCGGTGAAGGACGAGGCGTCTGCGGTTTCGCGCCAAATGGCGGTGGATGTAGCGACGCCGGACAGTACCATGAGCTCTTCAAAAAGTTTTGCTTCCATGGTTGTAGTTCCGAAACACTAAATAGGTCACGTGTGTTTCGGTATTCTCTCTTTTTAGATTCTTTAATTTCTTAAAAGTTTCGTGTACACAAGTATTTTTGAACCTTCTATGTTTTGCCACTCTCATATGTTCAGCACAGACCTTGAATTTTGAATTTCTTTAAAACTTCAAATCTCCCTCACCCCTTTTTCTGGTTTAGATTTGGTTCTTTTCTAAATCATGGGGTACCACAAAAGTGAAGCTCTTGATCACCTTCGCAACATGGCTTCGAGATTTATGCCTCAAAATCCAACTTTTCGGCATAGTTTTAGGAGTTGCAAATCTTGGTATTTAGATTCAGGTTTAAAAGGGGCTATCTTTAATGGGTTCTCTTCATGGTGTTCGATTTCTCAGAGACAAGGGGCACAAGGTGTTGTTGGAGTTAATGGTAACTTTCACAATCTCTTTCCTTTTGGGGCTAAGAGATTTTACTGTATTGATCCATATAATGTGCAACATTTCAAGCCGTGGGGACAAGATTTGGGTCTGTTTCATGAGTTTGTAGGAGATGATGATGTAAGGTTGATTGGAGTTGAAGGTGGAGGTTTGGAACTTGATAGTGACAAACATTATTCAACGTTGACCAAAGGAGAAGTTGGAGTAAAAAGTAAACAAATATAGTTAAAGTAAAAAAGAGTATTTTTGTAATTAAAAATTTTTGGGGAGGTGGAACTCACAAAATTGGATTAGATAATAGAGTTCGTTGTACATTTGGGCGGGTTAGCCCGTTGTTATAATTAATAATTGAAGTTTAATTTATAGGTGTTAATAATTTAAATTATAATATTATTATATTTATATTTTTGAGATAATATAATACAAAGGAGTTAATTTTTTAAATTATTTTTATTTTAAATTTTAAATTTTAAATTTTAAAATATAAAATAAAAAAGAGGGTTAAGACATTAATTAGTCAGTTTGAGGATGGAAGACAAGACAAGCCAGCACAGATTAAAAGTTCCAACTCAGTTTAGGATGTAATTCACTTTGTTACTTCAAATACATATTTCTCTGTATACATATGATAACAGATATATCATTCGGTTACTGAATAACACAATATCGTTCGGTATACTGAATAAAAACCTGAACGGTGCCAAACGGCGTCGCTGAGTAGTAGTATAATTGAACGGTATAAGCAGTAACCGAATGATATGAAGATATGAAGGAGAGAAAAGAGAAGAAAGAAGCTCGAGAACAAAGATTGAGAAAGAAGTAAAATCTTATTCCAAGTACAAAAGTGATACAGTAGAAGAAATATATAGGGAGGAAGAAGAAACAGAATAACATAAAAAGGGCAGGTCCAGTGCAGACCCAAAAAGAAACCAAGCAACACAGGTTAGTGAGCCTGGATGGTTCACTGAACAATACAGTGTGACCGAATGGTTCACTGAACACCACAGTGAAACCAAACGGTTCACATATCAACACAGTGAGACCAGACCGTACACTGAACACCACAACCATTCGGTACTGAACAACACAAGACCATTCGGTATACTGAATATAAACCTGAACGGTGCCAAACAGCGCCGCTGATCGGTAGTATAACCGAACAGTATAAGCAGTAACCGAATGGTATATCTGTTATCAACATATTCTGATATTTGTTGCTTCTCATACATGTTTTTATTTTAAATTATTAAAATACTTTAGTTTATTAAATATGAAAATGAAAATTATAATAAATTTTACTTTGAAAATAAAAATAATGATACTCAAACCATCCTATTCCATTGTCATCCCTACCACATGGGAGAAAGTTTAGAAATGGTAGAAGTGAAATTGATTTCTTGAAACAACTACGGTATTTCATTATAGTACGTTGCATCCATTCACATACTACAAGTCTCGACATGTTCTTTTTTTCCACCGACTTTACAAATGTTTGTTATCAATTCCTTTGGTTGATGTAGTATTTTTCTATGACATTTTATTACATATTTTACTCATACAGATTTGTAGAAAATTTTATAATCATCGTCGCATTTCTTTCAGCTTTATAGGTGGTCTGAAATATAAAATACACTTTGAATACTACTCCCTACTACATATGAAACACACTCTCAACACTTATTTCTATTAAGCAACTTTAACCATAATAATTCGTAGTTGATTGAATGTAATTCTCAATGATGCCTATATAAACATGCCTTCAATTTAATCTCTCACATTAGCAACTTTAATTTATTTGTTACCATTAGTGGTTGGATATAAATTTCATCTTACAAATTAAATTTGTAAAGTTAATTTAGGTTTAAAGTTCACTTCTTACCATAATATCAAAATAATGAATTAAAGTTTATCATAGTGACATTTTTTGTTTGTTGAGTTTATTATTTCACCCGCTATCAAATTGTTATCAAATTATTCATTAATGTCTAGTCTTACGTTTGATATGTATATGTCTCAATGTGAGGAGAGTGTGTTGTAAGTTTCACATCTGATAAAGATATGACCAATTTACAATAAATAAGTAGGTTCATATTATACATTTCGAAGTCGATTTTGTAAGATTGAGTTAAATTTAAATTCTATTTCTTAACATTTTAGGATATAGAGATAATTATTTGACAACTAGATAAATTCATACTTCTATCTTACAATTGATTATATTAATTTTATAATTTAACTTATATTTTAATTTAATATAATATTTTGTTATTCTTTATAATTGTCAAATGAAGGTAAATGTAAAACTTGGGATGTGAAAATAATTATTTTCTTTAGAATATTAATGGGATCACCATAACCTAATGATCTTATATATCCAAAATGTTTGTGTTAAGTATCTTTATTTGGTCATTTAAGTTTCAACCTAATGTAGGTTAATCTTCTATTGATTGAATAACAAATTATATACATTATACTTATGACCCAACTTAATATAAAAGTTATTTAATAGTAGTAGTATTGTTTCGGGTATACGATTGAGGTCAACATTCAATGTCCAATTAACAGTTTAAATGGTTTAAATGTTGTCCTTCGCTCCAAATTTCTTGTATTCGGTCATCCAATATCATTCGGAGGACAACTATAGAAGATGGTCTAATGCCAAACTTAGTTCAACGTTTGACAACTGAAATATATTTATAGATTTCAGAATGAATCTTTGATTAGCAACGACCTAATTGTGACCCATTTGATGATAATCAATCTTTACCTTAAGTTAATCAATATTAGAGTTAATCTTCTTATCCACTGATTGTTCAGTCCGCCTCCTAGGTTGTTCGGTGACAAGGGTGGTTTGTGAAGGAGTCTCATTAACAGTTTATTGTTTGGTTTGTGGCTGACTAGACAATCATATGGTACATAGGTCCCCCAAGCCCGTGCCTGTCATGATAGGCGAAGGGGTTTGCAACGGGATGGGGATTCTATCGTTCAATCTCTTTTGAAGTAGACTCGACCCTAGCTACTCATCTGTTTGGCCTCTAGACCATTCGGTTGAGTGCTTAACTATTTTAAAAATCTTGAAATCTTACTATTGAGGTAAAGACGCTTGACACCTTTGAACGATGCAAACATAAAAGAAAATAATATATAATTGTTGAGCGCTTGAACGGTTTTACAGTGTTTCCTCTTGTGACAGGGATTTGGAAAAACATATTGTGTCTTTTACTAGTCACGAGTATACAAAGTTCTTATGTGAACTTGCCCATTGATAACTCCTTGTAATTGTTGTTAGAGAGGTAGAAGTTCACTGATTAACTCTCTTACTTTCTCTTTATTTGCAACAAGAAGTAGGGATTCACGGGTGAACTCCTCTTTCATATTTGGATTGAGTGTAAGGGCTTTATGGATGAACTCGTTCTTCACCAGCTCAACGATGTTGGTAGGGGTTCACGGGTGAACTCCTCCTTCACCAATTTCTCTCTTTCATCTTTAGATCAGCAACAAGGGTTCATAAATGAAATTATCCTTCACAAGCTCGAAGATGTTGGTAGGGGTTCACAGATGAACTCATCTTTCACCAACCTCTATATTTCATCTTTTGAACCGAGCGGCACGAGTTCACGGATGAACTTCTCATTCACCGGCTCGGCACTAACCTCTCTCTTTTGTTTGATTTTCACTTGTACAAACTTTCTTGAAAATTCTTGAGAATTCCTCATTGTATTAATGATTGTAAAATTTACAAGGTTAGGTACAATAGTT